AAGGTGGCGAGTTGTGACAAACTAAATCACATGACCGTGATGATGACCATATATCAAGTACGTCTAAGGTGACTGTGATGAAAAATACTTGGCCACGTCGGACACTGTCTCAGACAGATACATAACAAACGTTTTTTAAAATTAATGTTTATTTCTCTTTCATTTAATTATCATGTGTTGACTGTTAATATGAGAAGAAAGAATAAATCCGATGCTATTTAACATATCCATTGTAAAAATTTATCTCCAACATCGTGTGAAGATGTCTCTTCTATGAACACTCAACTTATGAACTTTTTACATGAAAAAAGTGTGAAATTTAGCAAAAATTTCATGCGCTTCGTTTCCGTCTTTGATTGATACAATTGGTTTGAAATAAAAAAAATGGAATATTTTTTTAAACGTATCTAATCAGAACTTTGTTGAAAAAAATTGTTAAACAAGATACGAAATCAACAAATGATAATTTTTATAATTGGATAAATTTCAATTAAATAGAAGAAAACAGAAAATAATTTTATTTTTATTTCTATTTGAGGATAAAAAATGTTCGGTAAATTGGAAATGTTATCAAATGAAATCTTATTAAATATATTTTGTTATTTATCATGGGATCAAATGTTAATATCATTATAGTCTTTGAATAAACGTAACAATTCTCTTATTTATTCAATGTTTTTAATAAATAAAAATGGAATTATTCTAAATAAACCCGTTTTATCTTATCAAACATTTTCATCAACATTATTACCAATTATATTCAATTCTTCATTTCTTTTTTTCTTCTATTAAATATATTCATTTTGAAGGAATTAATTCAGTTTCTTTTGATTTTATTTATGAAAATCGTCGCGATTTTGCGCGTTTTTTTAGAAATCAGTGAATAAATCGCGATTTTTCTACTGTGTATCGATGGTAACAAGCCGAAAAAATCGACGATTTAGCGTGAGATTAATCGCGAATGTATTCGATAGAGAAAATTTTTACAATTTTGAGCTATGGAAGCTTGAAGTTTCTAGCTTGTACTGTTGAAGAGTTCTATGAGTGATATCCGTTTTCAGTTTTGAAAACAATGTACCATCATTACATCCAGATCTTCCAATTTTGGAATTTTTCCACTATACAAAGTCAACAATTGATATTTTGAAAACCTTCATATAATACACTTAGTTTTTGAGTTATGTTTCGAGACTTACAAATTGAATGATTTTCTCTATGGAATGTATGTTTTAAAATTTTGAATTCACTGGTTGAACCTCCAGTTTTCTAAAGACTCACTTAAAAGTCCTTTAGAAATCAATATTTCCTATCCGTCGGGAGTTATTCAAGTTGTCGTCACTCCTAATTTCTATTTTGAAAAGTGTAGTAAAAATCAGGAGACCCACTCCGAGGACTACAGACGCGAGATTCTTTTTCTACAGTTCTTTACCAACCCAAAAAATGGCACTGAACGGCGTTGCATAGATAAAAAGTTTTATTGAAGATGGCCAGGATGATGGATAGTCATGCATTGATTTGCCATAGTCGTCAAATGATTAACATAAAAAGTGTGAACTAATCAAGTTATAACCTTGGGAAATAATCAATATTAGGGTGTTGAGATCTGTTGTAGATATATCGAATATGTACAACAAGCTTATTTGTCAGTTAAATCAATGGTTAGAATAATAATAATGTTAAATTGAGAAAAACGAAAATGAACAGCAATAAGGCAAACAAATAATTTCTACTCGAAATGCAAAAATAAGATAGATCGTTTTATTGATGATTGATTATCCTTGAAAAGCAACTATACTCTTTACTTCCAACAAGGGCTGTATTCATAAGCTTTTTAACAAGACTCTTTATCCTATAATCTACATCTAATTCATGTTATAAATACTATGAAGAAACTTATCACATCTATTCTAAATCTAGATGCGACAGATACTATTGAAAGTACATGCCCGGTCGATATTCAGATCCGAAAATTTGAACTCTACGAACTGTCATGTAGATTCGAACTTTACTAAGAAAGATCAATCAAAAGAAAATTTTTCTAAACTTGTTTTGTTTCAGGAACTCCTAATTCGTCATAAATTAATTAATAAACTATTTCTGAATCACAATTTCGATTATCAAATTCTAAACCATTTATATTTCAATCATTAAGTTGTATGCTTAAAATTAATTCAAATATAGCACTTTTTCGACATCATCTACATCTTAAAACTCATATATATTTTGCAATTGAACAATTATGTTATTGTCTGTTACAACGAATAACAATAAGTCGTGCAATACAAAATATTGATCTACGTTTATTAAGTGATTTTAAATTACGACAATTACCAATTCACCATATCAATTAGCTATGTATGAAGGTTTTGTTCATTTTATTCTGAGCTTTACATCAAATGATAGTGAAAAACGTAGTATACAAATCGTTTTAATGAAGAGATCTATTGAGATGTCTCATTCATATGTCAACAACTTTTTGCCTATGTATACTAAATAGTATTCTAATGAAAATCCTAAAATTATTTGATTTCCCATCGAGACTTAACGGCGCTATTGAAGAATATTTAATATGTTTATTTGTTAGCGCATTCCTGCACTAGACCCGACGTTTTTGAATTTCATTTTTGAATGATCTTCATTTGAAGATTCCATATAGAGTAGTCTATATGAAAAGTGTCAGAGTTTGTAAACTTTGTATCTTCGAAATATCACCTTTTCAAAATACTTTTATATTATTTACTATGCTTTGGAAAGTATGTATGTTTGAAATGCTTAGAAACTCTAAAACTCTTCATACAAGTGGCGCATAAAATCTTTTACTATACTTAAACATTTTT